AAAAAAAAAAAAAAAAAAACTGCTGTTGATGGATTTTTCTAAAATAAAAAAATCTGCAAAACAGCAAAGGAAACAAAGATGGACCAACAGGGAAGTAGAAATGTGACAAGAAAAAAAAAAAAAACAACTGAAGATGATTTTGCTGTCGTTATCGTTGTCGCTGCATTGCCGTCTCTGCTGTGGTTGGTGTTGATGCAGCACATACTGACTACTAACTGTTTGAAGAAGGAGGAGGAGAACGACGACGATTGCGACATGAACGACGAGGAAAAAGTGAAGAAGAAAAATAAGAAGATAAAATAATCTTGGGACCGAAATCAGCTTTAATAATTGCTTTTGATAGACTCTCAGATGGGTGATGTCATCGGGACCTGATGTCCAGTATTGATCTATTAGCTGCGGATCGTCATAGCCGCCCTACTTGCGTCTTGTTCCCGTTTGCTAACCTAAACCAATTTTCGTCATACTGTTGTTGCTTTTTCTATTGCTGTTGCTGTTGTCATCGTCGTCGTCGTCATCGTCGTCTCTCCCGATTTTGTTCAGTTTACAACTGCTACACTTCTGTGCAGTTGTTTTAAAATTGATAAATTTTTTTAACTGGTGACGACATAGTTGTTGGCCAGTAATAGCATTCAGTTATATAGCAATATTAAAATTATTTTTGCATTATTAGTTGATTAAGCATAATAGTTATTTAAATAACTGTGGCGGTAAATCAAACTACAATTATTAATTTTATTGTACGATTTGTTTGATGCTATTGAATGCGGATGATATTATCAGCAAAGAAGAAACAAAAAAAATTGAAAAGGACGTGGTAAAGATATACTTTTATTTTTAAAGTAAGCAGACAACAGTAAGTAATATATGAAAAAAAAAAGTAGATAAATTGTCTAAAAAAAGGGAGGAATGCTCTTTTTTTTCTCTAGAAAAGGCGAAAAAAAGTAAAAGGAAAACAGGCAAATGATTGCAAAAATTTAATTTTCTACTAACTGCCTAATGTGTGTGTGTGTATGTGTGTGTATGCATACGTATATGATGGATAATTGGATACAGTATGATTATATACGTCATATTGGAGGTTAAAATGCTATAGATCGGCTTAAATTTTGTTAATAGTTACTATCTGTAGGGAGGGATGGAGGAGGATTGGGGGAAGACGGGAAGGCGAGTAGTATTTGGAGGTAAATGCATTGAATAAAAACAAAAATGGTTGAGGCAATTTTTTTTTATTGTTGTTAGAATTGATCTA